TGTAAACCCCTGCGGTGACTGGTTCGTGGTGTTTTGATTTTGTCCTGGTTAGATCGTTTATTAAAGTGCTGGAAGTGATGGTGACTCTGGTGTTAGCTTGTGAAAGTACTTTAGAAATGCTCAGTGCAACCTGAACCTGAATGTTCTACGTTGTAGAACCTCGATGGCTTTTGTGGTAGGTACTTTAGTGAAGTACCTACCACAAAAGCCAAGTCAGCCAGTACCTTAATCTTCCTCTACCTCCCGAAGATTTTGTTGACTTGACTGAACTGTGTTAATTTCAATTGTTTTTCTTTCAATAACAGGCTCTACAAACAAACCTACGGCATGGGAATGGGGTCCCCCATCAGTGTAGTCCTTAGCCAACTTGTACATGGAACACCTAGAGTCTGAACACTTCTCCAACATCATCCCTTCAAGCATCACTTGGTTACATTACGTGGGCGAGGTCCTCGTAATAACTCCCAAACATTTTGATGTACGGAATCTTCAGGCAAGGCTCAACAGAGTTGAGCTGGCAATCCAGTTTGCACTACAAGAAGAGTCCAATGACAAGCTACCTTTCCTAGACATCCTCATTCACAAAGTAGATAACAACCTAAGATTTCAAGTTTACCAGAAACCTACATATAAAAATGATCTCACACACCTCTATTCCAGTCAAGATACTAAGATCAAAAGAGGCATCATCATCGGATTTTTCCTAAGAGCATACCGAATTTGTAGTTTCGAGTTTCTTGACAAGGAATGTACATACATTCACCAAACTTTCACTGATTTACATTTTCCTTCCTTTTTCATCAAAGACTGCAAGATCATTAATTCTCCACGCACCAACACCACTACTAACAAAGTTATAATTCTTTCCAACAGCCAGGTTGCACTGAGCGCTTCTAAAGTACTTTCACAAACTAACACCAGAGTCACCATCGCTTCCAGCACTTCAATAAAAGACCTAACCAGGACAAAATCAAAGCACCACAAACCAGTCAATGCAGGGGTTTACACTATACCCTGTGGAGGCTGTGACAAGATTTATGTAGGTGAAACAACAAGAAACCTCGACATGCGCCGCAATGAACACATTTATGCATGTAGGCATGATAACTTGAACAACGTCTGAGTACAACACCGAAATTCCACCAATCATCTCATGAAATTCAGGGACGCCCAATTAGTGATCAAAGGAACTAATTTCCTTGCCTTGAATCAGCACTAACTGCTGTTTCGAATACAATTAAACAAAACAAAGGCAGCTTCACCATCTCTAAAGTCTTAGCAAGAATCCTCTTGAAAACAGTAAACACTGCTATCACATAGTCTCTCCTGCTAATACTACACAAGCATTGAACAGGCCTTGTCTTTCCAGCCTCCAGCCTCCAATAGATATATCTGTCCAACTTGTTTTTATGTTGCCCAAGTATATCCTTTTATATCCTTTTACTCATGTGCAAGTTAATTGTTCTATCATATTGTAATATGTACTACTACTATTACTACTACAATTTATATCACTACTACTACTACTACCACAAGTATTGCACCTCACTCTGAGCCTATATATACCCTCTGTGTCCATGTAATGTTTGTAACGGCTTGACAAAGCTCCTGGAGAGCGAAACGTTGCCACAATAAAAATGTCACATTAGTTGCAATTGTGTCCTTTTACTTCACATATTGTCAGTAATTCTACCAACATTATTACAATCACTGGTCAAAATTGCACCTGGTTGTAGGGGGAATAATACAATCATTAGTCACTATCACACCTGAGTTGCAAGAGAATAATACAATGTTGCACTGTGACTGTGAAGGCTACAGTATCACTGTATAAATCATAATCAAGTCTAAAAAAAATATGCAATAAAACTTTTAAAAACTGAAAGCTCTTAAAAGTTGTATTGCTTAATTTATTTAGCTGTATTGCAAATTATTATTGAAAGAATTAAGAGTAAAACGGAGAATAGGATAGCAGATGAACAAGGAGGCTTTAGGAAAGGTAGGGGGTGTGTGGACCAGGTGTTTACAGTGAAACATATAAGTGAACAGTATTTAGATAAGGCTAAAGAGGTTTTTGTGGCATTTATGGATTTGGAAAAGGTGTATGACAGGGTGGATAGGGGGGCAATGTGGCAGATGTTGCAAGTGTATGGTGTAGGAGGTAGGTTACTGAAAGCAGTGAAGAGTTTTTACGAGGATAGTGAGGCTCAAGTTAGAGTATGTAGGAAAGAGGGAAATTATTTCCCAGTAAAAGTAGGCATTAGACAAGGATGTGTGATGTCACCGTGGTTGTTTAATATATTTGTAGATGGGGTTGTAAGAGAAGTAAATGCGAGGGTCTTGGCAAGAGGCGTGGAGTTAAAAGATAAAGAATCACACATAAAGTGGGAGTTGTCACAGTTGCTCTTTGCTGATGACACTGTGCTCTTGGGAGATTCTGAAGAGAAGTTGCAGAGATTGGTGGATGAATTTGGTAGGGTGTGCAAAAGAAGAAAATTAAAAGTGAATACAGGAAAGAGTAAGGTTATGAGGATAACAAAAAGATTAGGTGATGTAAGATTGGATATCAGATTGGAGGGAGAGAGTATGGAGGAGGTGAATGTATTCAGATATTTGGGAGTGGACGTGTCAGCGGATGGGTCTATGAAAGATGAGGTGAATCATAGAATTGATGAGGGGAAAAGGGTGAGCGGTGCACTTAGGAGTCTGTGGAGACAAAGAACTTTGTCTTTGGAGGCAAAGAGGGGAATGTATGAGAGTATAGTTTTACCAACGCTCTTATATGGGTGTGAAGCATGGGTGATGAATGTTGCAGCGAGGAGAAGGCTGGAGGCAGTGGAGATGTCATGTCTAAAGGCAATGTGTGGTGTGAATATAATGCAGAGAATTCGTAGTTTGGAAGTTAGGAGGAGGTGCGGGATTACCAAAACTGTTGTCCAGAGGGCTGAGGAAGGGTTGTTGAGGTGGTTCGGACATCTAGAGAGAATGGAGCGAAACAGAATGACTTCAAGAGTGTATCAGTCTGTAGTGGAAGGAAGGTGGGGTAGGGGTCAGCCTAGGAAAGGTTGGAGGGAGGGGGTAAAGGAGGTTTTGTGTGCGAGGGGCTTGGACTTCCAGGAGGCATGCGTGAGCGTGTTTGATAGGAGTGAATAGAGACAAAGGGTTTTTAATACTTGACGTGCTGTTGGAGTGTGAGCAAAGTAACATTTATGAAGGGATTCAGGGAAACCGGCAGGCCGGACTTGAGTCCTGGAGATGGGAAGTACAGTGCCTGCACTCTTAAGGAGGGGTGTTAATGTTGCAGTTTAAAAACTGTAGTGTAAAGCACCCTTCTGGCAAGACAGTGATAGAGTGAATGATGGTGAAAGTTTTTTTTTTTTGGGCCACCCTGCCTTGGTGGCCACCCTGCCTTGGTGGGCACCCTGCCTTGGTGGGAATCGGCAAGTGTGTTAATAAATAATAAATATAAAATAGTCCGTGAGTGCAGAAGTTTTCCCACACACACCAGTGTCTGGCTGTGTGTGGAGTTTTATGAGACCTTCCTTTGGCATACCAGTCCACCCCTTTAAATTTCTTTTATATACAGTGGTGTGATGATGTTAACAAGGTTTAGGTAAAAGATATGTAAACATTGATACCTTGAAGGAGTTCCAGGGGTGAACACCCCCACAGCCCTGTCCATGACCAGGCCTCGTGGTGGATCAGGGCCTGATCAAGCAAGCTGTTAATGCTGGCTACACATAGTCGAACGTACCAACCACAGCCCAGCTGGTCAGGTACTAACCAAGACATTTTTTAAGGAAACGTTTCCCCACAAGTGACCGAAGTAGGCACTTGGGGAGAAATGCTTCCTGTATTTTACCTACTAGAGCTTTTATCCAATCATGACTTGATAAAGCTCTACACAGAGCGAAATTACCTCCATATACAAGCTAGGCTGAAATACTCTGCATAACTATGAGCTATCTGCAACATCTGGGAACCTTTAATTGTAAATGTTTTGCCAATCAGTGGCTTTATCAATACAATACAAGGACATAATGTGAAGACTGTAGAACTGTATTCAAAACATCAAGTAATTAGTCCTTCAGCCTTGAAGCCAAAGACTACAGTAGTCTTTACTAACTCCAAGGCTGAAGACTACAGTAGTCTTTACTAACTCCAAGGCTGAAGACTACAGTAGTCTCTACTAACTCCAAGGCTGAAGACTACAGTAGTCTTTACTAACTTCAAGGCTGAAGACTACAGTAGTCTCTACTAACTCCAAGGCTGAAGACTACAGTAGTCTTTACTAAATCCAAGGCTGAAGACTACAGTAGTCTTTACTAACTCCAAGGCTGAAGACTACAGTAGTCTCTACTAACTCCAAGGCTGAAGACTACAGTAGTCTTTACTAACTCCAAGGCTGAAGACTACAGTAGTCTTTACTAACTCCAAGGCTGAAGACTACAGTAGTCTTTACTAACTCCAAGGCTGAAGACTACAGTAGTCTTTACTAACTCCAAGGCTGAAGACTACAGTAGTCTTTACTAACTCCAAGGCTGAAGACTACAGTAGTCTTTACTAACTCCAAGGCTGAAGACTACAGTAGTCTTTACTAACTCCAAGGCTGAAGACTACAGTAGTCTTTACTAGCTCCAAGGCTGAAGACTACAGTAGTCTTTACTAACTCCAAGGCTGAAGGACAGATTACCTCATCTTTTGTATACAGTTCTACAGTCTTCACATTATGTCCTTGCATTGCGTTGATAAGTCCTTGTATTGTATAGATAAAGCCACTGGACGATGAAATGTCTACAAGATACACAGATGTTGCACATTTGTCTAATTCTTTATCTTATTGTTATTGTATACCATTCATGTACAACAAAATGTCACCCATCTCTGTACATTGTATCATGGTGAAAGAAAATAACATTATTATTATTCTTGCTTTACAAAACATGTCTCTAATTTATTATGGGAGGAGATAGCAGTGTATAAACATAAAAGTTACAAACCTGATTCTTTTCCATCAGTAAGAAAATGAATGTTCTTCCACTGGGGACGGTCAGTACATTCTATCTTGGAGAAAGCTTCTTTCACCAGTTTGAAGTTGCAGATGAAAGTCATATCTACACATCCAGCTCTCATTCTGCAATGAAGTGACTTTTGTGGACAAGGTTGTGCTTGAACATGTTAATGGTGTACAATGCAGGGGAGGATCAGAGCATGGGTTTCAGGGGTTGTGTTTCAGGGGTTGTGTTTGAGCATAATAATGGTATACAATGCAGGGCTGGATTAAGGCATGGGTTTCAGGAACTGCAGCCCAGGGTCCTCACACCAACTGGAGGGCCTCCAGAGATTAAGTGAAAAGTGTCAGCAGGTTATAACCTATTCAGATGTGACAGATTAAATAGGTATCAAGGGAGGGGGGGAGGGGTTGGCCTGTACATCACAGAGTCGCTCATTTGCTCAGAACTACTAAACACCTCAAATGATGTAGTTGAAGTTTTGGCGGTAAAAACTGAAAACCAAAACATTGTCATTGTGGTTGTATACAAGCCTCCAGATGCAACTTCCCAGCAATTTTGAAAATTGACCACTGTCTGGAAAATCTCCCAACTCTTGCCCCAAACATCTTGCTACTGGGAGATTTCAACGTGAGACACCTAAAATAGAGGAGTGTAGCAAATAATATTTTAGCAGAGATCACCCCAGGAGGCAGCCAAGATAAAAATTCACACATACACAAGCTATTAAATCTATGCACCAAATTCACCTTATATCAGCAAATATTAGAGCCTACAAGACTAGAAAATTCGCTGGACCTCCTCTTCACTAACAACAACGATCTGATATGCAATATAACCGTATCAAAGACAATACACTCGGATTACAACATAATAGAGGTATAGACATGTATGCACATGGTTCCTGACCAGCAAAATGTGATCAGTCATGAGGGTGTCTTCACAAAATTCAATTTCAATAACAAAAACATACAGTGGGAACAAGTCAACCATGTCCTAAATGAAACAACCTGGGAAGATATCCTAAACAACACAGATCTGAACCTTTGCCTAGTAAAAATAAACTCTGAGGTTCTTAAGATCTGCTCAAGGCACATTCCATTCACAAAAAGACAAAGAAGATGTAAACTAGAAAGAAAGAGGTGCTCCCTATACAGACGAAGGTGAACAGTCACAGAGCTGCTGAGAGGGGCCAATATGTCTGAAATATGAAGAGTGGCACTGGTCAATGAAATTGCAAATATCGAACTTAAGCTGAAGGAATCTTACAGGAGACAAGAATCACAGGAAGAACTAAAAGCCATAAAAGAAATATAAAAAAAAATGTTTCTTCTCTTATGCCAAATCTAAGGAAAAAACAACATCCAGTATTGGGACCCTGCTTAAACAAGATGGGACATACACACATGACAGCCAAGAAATGAGTAAGATACTAAAGTCCCAATATGACTCAATGTTCAGTGAGCCACTGCCCAGATTAAGGGTCGACAATCCAAATGAATTCGTTAGGAAGGAGACCCAAACTTTGGTCATCTCAAAAACCTCAGATATTATCCTAACACCACAGACTTTGAAAAAGCAATAAATGACATGCCCATGCACTCTGCCCCAAACCCAAACTCATGGAACTCCATGTTCATCAAGAACTGCAAGAAGCCCTTATCATGTGCCTTCAGCACTCTATGGACATGGAGCATGGACACAGGGGTCATCCAACAATCAAAAAAACAACAAACATAGCTCCACTCCACAAAGGGGGCAGTAAAGCAATTGCGAAGAACTACAGACTGATAGCACTTACATCCCATATCATAAAAATCTTTGAAAGGGTTCTAAGAAGCAAGACCACCAACCACCTAGATACCCTTCGATTACACAACCCAGGGCAACACGGGTTTAGAGCAGATAACGCCTGCCTGTCCCAGCTACTGGACCAGTATGACGTGGTCCTGGATGCTGTAGGGGATAAACAAAATACAGATGTAGTATACACTGACTGCAAAAGATTTGAACAAGTGTGACCATGTTGTAATAATGAACAAAATGTGTGAAAAAGGAATAACAAATAGAACACAAAGAGTAATAGTAAACATGGTAAAGTCCCAGGCAGCTACGGTGAAAAGCTCTGTTTCACAAGGCACAGTACTCGCTCCTATTCTATTCCTCATCCTCATATCTGACATAGACAGAGATGTTAGCCATAGATCCATGTCTTCCTTTGTGGATGACACCCAAATTGCCATGACAGTGACTTCCATCAAAGACACTGCAAGACTTCAAGCAGATATCAACCAAATCTTCAAATGGGCCACTCAAAACAACATGAAATTCAATGAAGAGAAATTTCAACTACTCAGATATGGAAAACTTGAGGACATTGATACTGTATCAGGGTACACGACAAATTCTAACCATATAATAGAGCGAAAAAGAAATGTGAAGGACCTGGGAGTGATTATGTCAGAGGATCTCGGTTTAAAAACCCCAACAGTGTATCTACCACATCTGCTAAGAAAATGATAGGATAGATAATGAGAAACTTCAAAACTAGGGACGCCAAGCCCCTGATGATTCTCTTCAAATTGCTTGTTCTCTCTAGGCTGGAATACTGCTGTACACTAACTGCCCCCTTCAAGGCAGGCAAAATTGCTGATCTGGAGAGTGTACAAAGGACTTTCACAGCACACATAAGTATGATAAGGCACCTAAATTACTGGGAATGGTTGAAGTCCCTTGATTTGTATTACCTGGAACGAAGGTGAGAGAGATACATGATAATATACACTTGAAAAATCCTAGAGGGATCAGTGCCAAACCTGCACACAAAAATCACTCCCCATGAAAGCAAAAGACTTGGCAGGAGATGCAGCATTCTCACAATAAAGAGCTGGGGCACCACGAGTACACTGAGAAACAACACAATAAGTGTCCGGGGCCCAAAACTGTTCAACTGCCTCCCAGCATACATAAGGGGGATTACCAATAGACCCCTGGCTGTCTTCAAGAAGGCACTGGACAGGCACCTAAAGTCAGTACCTGACCAACCAACCAGACTGTGGTTCATATGTCAGTTTGTGTGCAGCCAGTAGTAACAGCCCGGTTAATCAGACCCTGATCCACCATGAGGCCTGGTCTCAGACCAAGTAAAGGGGGCACTGATCCCAAAAACCCTTTCCAGGTAAACTCCAGGTATACTGGTAAGCCAGTGGATTTTATTCCATCTGTCTCATTCATCAAGCTAGTGGAAGATAAGCAATTTAACAAGAAACCCTTGATATAGTCTGTGTCAGGACTCAGGAAATATTTGTCCTGTTTCCCGACAGGCGAATGCCTGCCGGCATCTTTCAGCTATATTTGTATCATATCTGGCTTGGTAGGCAACACTCTCGCCTCACACACTGAGTGTTCATGATTCAATGCCCGGCACAGGTGGAAACAATGGGTTACCTGCTATACCTGCTGTAACTGCAGTAAGTAGGTACCTGGGTGTTAATACACTGGTGTGGGTGGCATCCTGGGAGACAAGACTGAATGACTAAAATGGAAATAAGACAGACAGCCCTCAATGATGCACTGACTTTCTTGAGTTATCCTGGGTGGCTAACCCCTCCCTACCCTGGGTTATCTTGGGTGGCTAACCCCTCCCTACCCTGGGTTATCCTGGGTGGATTACTCTCCCTAACCTGGGTTATCCTGGTTGGCTAACCCTGCCTACTCTGGGCTATCCTGTGTGGCTAACCCTCCCTACCCCAGGTTATCCTGAGTGGCTTCCCCTCCCTACCCCAGGTTATCCTGGGTGGCTAACCTTCCCTACCCTGGGTTATCCTGGGTGGCTAACCCTCCCTACCCTGGGTTATCCTGAGTGGCTTACCCTCCCTACCCCAGGTTATCCTGGGTGGCTAACCTTCCCTACCCTGGGTTATCCTGGGTGGCTAACCCTCCCTACCCTGGGTTATCCTGGGTGGCTAACCCCTCCCTACCCTGGGTTATCCTGGGTGGCTAACCCTCCCTATTCTGGGATATCCTGGGTGGCTATCCCTCCCTACCCTGGGTTATCCTGGGTGGGTTACTCTCCCTAACCTGGGTTATCCTGGTTGGCTAACCCTGCCTACTCTGGGTTATCCTGTGTGGCTAACCCTCCCTACCCAAGGTTATCCTGAGTGGCTTACCCTCCCTATGCCAGGTTATCCTGGGTGGCTAACCTTCCTTACCCTGGGTTATCCTGGGTGACTAACCCTCCCTACCCTGTGTTATCCTGGGTGGCTAACCCTCCCTACCCTGTGTTATCCTGGGTGGCTAACCCTCCCTACCCTGGGTTATCCTGGGTGACTAACCCTCCCTACCCTGGGTGGCCAACCCTCTTGGTTTAAAATTCCAACAAATCTTAATCTTAACATATATTGCAGAACATTAACATGAAGCTGCGTACTCACCTAAAGATGTCGCCATATGTATTACAGAGTTTACGAACATCCTCTGCCACTATAACAGGTTTTAGGTTCCCAATGATAGGGAAAATCAAGGGTCCTGAAAGCCAACATATATATTATACACATATATATTATAAACATATATATTATAAACATATATATTGTAAACATATATATTATACACATACATATTATACACATATATATTATACACACATATAGAGTGGACCCTCAACTAACAGTAGCATTAAGAAACGGCAATTTCGTCTAACGGTGCTTTTTGGTGTAAAAAAACAAAATGTCTTAACCAATGGCGAAAGACTCTACCAACGACGTTCGTCCGGAACATGTCCATGAGCACGGAACGCGACCTGAGCGGGCCCAGCCACTCCAAGACTCAGTGTGCCATTCTTTACAAGCTGTTGCAGTCAGTTTCCACATGAGCCTCCCATCTATTTTGTTTATGTTTGTTAGCAGAGCAGGAGATGCGCAAATTAACATTAAGATCGACAACACTCTAATTACCAGGCATAATGAGGGCAAATTCCTAGGCCTATACCTCGACAACAACCTGAACTTCAGCACGCATATCCAACACATAACCAAAAAAGAATCCAAAACGGTTGGAATCCTCTCCAAGATACGATACTACGTGCCGCAAACTGCCCTTCTCACACTATACCATTCACTTATATATCCATACCTCACCTATGCTATCTGTGCTTGGGGTTCAACTGCAGCAACACACCTAAAGACAATAATAACCCAACAAAAACCTGCAGTAAGAATAATCACTAAATCCCATCCCTGGCAACACCCCCCCCCCACTCTTCATAGATCTAAACTTACTCCCTGTTCAGTACATCCACACTACTGTGCAATCTACATCTACAGGACCTTAAATTCCAATATTAACCTTGACCTAAAATGCTTTCTTGATAGTTGTGACAGAACCCACAGGCACAACACCAGACACAAACATCTCTATGACATTCCCCGTGTCCGACTAAACCTTTACAAAAATTCAATGTATGTCAAAGGCCCTAAAATCTGGAACACCCTACCTGAAAATTCCAAAACTGCAGACACATTCATCACCTTCAAAACTACCATCAGAAAACATCTTATCTCCCTGATACACCCTGTCAACTAATAATACGAATACAACCTGGTGGTTCACACTTACACTCACTCACCCATTTGACCATAAACAGAGATATCAATCTCAATCTCAAAATAATGAATCTTAACTAGTCATAAGTTGGCCTGTGATACTCCAATACTGAAACTACGTATAGTGCCAAAACAAAAGCATTCACATTGCTAAACTCACAAACTAGTATTTAGTCACTTAGCCATAATACCAACTTATCTCATAATTTTGTAACATTTTAAACCTAAGATTTAATATAAGTCTGCCCAAAATGCCTAACCATGCTAGGCGTTCTAGTGGTACACTCTGTAATTATTATTTTACTACAAGTAAACCACACAATAACCAAATTCTGTAAACTCAGCATTGTAATACTTATAGAGAATAAAGTTTGAATTGAATTGAATTGAAGTACTGACTGATGTTGTAGTGGCCAGGCTTAGGCTTGGTTACAAGTACTGACTGATATTGTAGTGGCCAGGCTTAGGTTTGGTTACAAGCACTGACTGATGTTGTAGTGGCCAGGCTTAGGCTTGGTTACAAGTACTGACTGACTGATATTGTAGTGGCCAGGCTTAGGTTTGGTTACAAGTACTGACTGATATTGTAGTGGCCAGGCTTAGGCTTGGTTACAAGTACTGACTGATATTGTAGTGGCCAGGCTTAGGTTTGGTTACAAGCACTGACTGATGTTGTAGTGGCCAGGCTTAGTCTTGGTTACAAGTACTGATTGATGTTGTAGTGGCCAGGCTTAGGCTTGGTTACAAGTACTGACTGATGTTGTAGTGGCCAGGCTTAGGCTTGGTTACAAGTACTGACTGATGTTGTAGTGGCCAGGCTTAGGCTTGGTTACAAGTACTTCTGGCAGTTTGGGAGACACACAGATGATGATCAAACTAAATGTAAATTATGTGATCAGGCATATGGTCACTGTCTTGAACACTATGTGCTTAATTGTCCACTTATTGAGGAATACAGAGACAGACAGTATAATAACCTATGTGACATGTCAAGATATCTTATTAATGAAAATGGGATACCAGATATACTAAGAAAATTAACTAAATTTGCTTGTAACAGATAATTGAACAATAGATATGTAGACATAAATCCATATGTATTCCTGTTAACCTTTGGGGCCTAGTTCCTGGGCCTTTTGTGTATCCATATGCTCTTGCCTTACCGTCCACAGGATGGATATGGGGCGCACAATAAACTAGCCACTTCAGTGGCAAAACATAAAAAATCTGACTCCTTCTATAATTCGTAATTTGAGTTTGCGTTTAATGACTATTTTCTTGTAGGTGTTTAACTTAAATTATGTCTGCATATATAATTTCTTACGACTGTGACTATATATAAACACGTATATAGTTCATTATCATTGTAACTTGTTCAGTTGTCAGAACTTTGCCACCCAGTCCCTGAACCATTATCAACCTCTGTAATGTTGAGGTACAGTCCCTGGACCATTATCAACCTCTGTAATGTTGAGGTACAGTCCCTGGACCATTATCAACCTCTGTAATGTTGAGGTACAGTCCCTGGACCATTATCAACCTCTGTAATGTTGAGGTACAGTCCCTGGACCATTATCAACCTCTGTAATGTTGAGGTACAGTCCCTGGACCATTATGTACCTCAGTAATGTTGAGGTACAGTCCATGGACCCATTATGTACCTCTGTAATGTTGAGATACAGTCCCTGGACCCATATTATCTCCCTGATACACCCCGTCAACTAACAACACGAATACCACCTGGTGGTTCACACTTACACTCACTCACCCATTTGACCATAAACAGAAATATTAATCTCAATCTTAAAATAATGAATCCTGTGATACTCCAATACTGAGACTATGTACTGTGCAAAAACAAAAGCATTCACATTGCTAAACTCACAAACTAGTATTTAATCACTTAGCCATAATACCAACTTACCTCATAATTTGTGATATTTTAAAATTAAGAATTAAACTAAGTCTGCCCGAAATGCCTAGCCATGCTAGGTGTTCTAGTGGTACACTCTGTAATTATTATTTTACTACATGTAAACCACACAATAACCAAATTCTGTAAACTCAGCATTGTAATCCTTATAGAGAATAAACTTTGAATTGAATTGAATTTATAGTGCTTGTAACTGCTAAATAAGCCACCATGGGCCTCAAGAAAGCTTCTAGTGCCAAGCCTGTGTTAAAAATGGTGAAAATTACGACGGAAATGAAGATTATTGAAAAATACGAGAGTGGAGTTCGTATGGCTGAGTTGGAAAGGCAATATAACAAATCACATTCAACCCTCAGTACTATTTTGGTGAACAGATAGGCAATCAAGGAAGCTGTTGTTGTGAAAGATTCAAGTATGTTTTCAAAACGGAGACTGCAAATAATTGAAGAGGTAGAGAGGCTGTTATTGGTATGGATAAACGAAAAACAATTACACCTACCATCCGACTTACAACCAAGCTTGGTTCCAACCAATCGGTCATAAGTCGAAATGGACGTAAGTCGAACCTTTGAAAATTGCCGACATATTGGGTAGGGCATAATGTCAAAACTTTCCTATATAAACTACCTACATAATACTGTAATGTAATGTACAATCATTATTTCATTCTTTTAACCATAATTTACTAATATTGTTGTATTTTAATTATTTATGTACTGTATATAATGTATACATGGTAGTGATATGTATTGTAAATTTTACGTCGCATACAGTATCATATGTTACTATTATCTTTATGTATTATCGACACAGTAGAATGGGAGAATACCACTGGTAGTGTCATCCTGCCAGAATGTTGTATAACCTATACCCTAAGTAAAGAGAAACAACTCTGGAACATGTGTAATATGTGTCTGGCTGGCTGGCTGGGTGGCCGGGTCTGTGGTTGGCCGGGTGGGTGGGTGGCTGGCTGGATGTGTGGGAGGGTGGGTAGGTAGGTGGCTTGATGATGGGTGGGTGGGTGGTGGGTGGCTGGATGGGTGGGTGGGTGGCTGGATGGGTGGGTGGGTGGATGGGTGGGTGGGTGGCTGGATGGGTGGGTGGGTGGGTGGCTGGATGGGTGGGTGGGTGGGTGGCTGGATGGGTGGGTGGGTAGTTGGCTGACTGGGGTGACCGAATGTGGCTGTCTCTTTGTATCTCTCTCTCTGTATCTCTCTCTCTCTCTCCTCTCTCCTCTCTCTCTCTCTCTCTCTCTCTCTCTCTCTCTCTCTCTCTCTCTCCTCTCCTCTCTCTCTCTCTCTCTCTCTCTCTCTCTCTCCTCTCTCCCCACTGGTACACGTAAGTCAAGTCATCATACATAGTATAAATTACCTAGGATAACCCAAAAAATCCAGACAAAGTGGATCACAGTGGATCTGTGCTCCAGTGCCCTAAATTAATAATAATATTAATAATCATTATTATTACAATAATACATATGAACTAATATTATTATTATTATTAAGCTATAATATAATAATCGCGTCCACTCATTACTTACCTTAAAATATCTGTAGTTTTAATGTAGAGTGAGAGGTGAGTAAACAAGATTAAATGAATAAATGAGAGAGAATGAGAATGTAGAATGTTTACGAGTTATGTAAACAAACGTTGTTGTTGCTGTTGTTGTTACCAGCCCGGACACGAATGGTTCCTGTTCACTGTCAAGCCGGCCAGAAAAACATCTCATATTTGTTAATTTATATGTTATGTAGCATGTTTATTATATAATTTTGAAAAAAAAATCATAGATGGATTAAGCAAAATGTCTATATTAACATTTTATATATATTTAATGCACCTCAGTGATTATTATTGTTATTATCATTATTAATATGGCATCTTCAAGACCAAGTACACTCTTAATGAGTGGCTCTGAGACAGACAAGCAGACAAAGACAGACACACAGGCAGACATAAAGACAGACACAGGTAGACATAAAAACAGACA